GCAGGAAGGGCCCGCTCTGAGCTGTGCGGACTGAGCGGCGCCACTCGGGGGGGACCTCTGCTGCTTGTGGCGTGGTCATGAGGGGAACTGAGGTCGTTTCTGCGCAGGTGGCCCCGGGGCCAGCTGGACACACCTGGCCTTGTCAGGCACCAGGAAGCCCTTGAAGCAGCAGACTCTCTTCCAGAAGAGAGAAGTTACGTGATGGCATCTGTGGCGCAGCAGGAAGCACCTAGAAATTACAGAAGGCACACAGGTGACACCGAAGGACAGGGACAAGAAAGACCAGCCAAGCAGAAAGAAATTGGAGGAGAAGCAACTACCGGCAGTTACGGTAAACCTCCAGCTTCTTCCTCCTAAGTTCGATCCGTTCTGCAATGTCTGTCTTCCCGCTGTGGACCCGTGCGCTGCGCTGGCGTGTGCATTCGGGGAGAGCCGAGTGAGTTTCTACTGAGGGACACGGCGGCCTTGCTTAGCGTAAACGGGAGAATTGTCCAGGGGTTTCAGATGAGCCCCAATGTTTCTCCTCCTGTGTCTGCCCGCTGGGTGGCACGTGGGGTCGTTCAGTCTCTCTGTGACTCAGGTCCTGACCTGCGGAGTGGGAATATTTACCTCACAGGACTATGTTGAGAACAAAACTCGCTAATCCAAGTGTCCGATATGTGGCAGACGTGCGTGCGTTAGCTGTTGACACGCCAGCGAGCCGTGCGCTGCTCAGATCCCAAAGCAGCATGTGACCCAAAGAAAGAACAAAATCGGACAGACAGGAGCAGGTGCTTCGACGGCCCTGTCTTGGTATGGTGTGTCTTTGGGTAATTTCACTGGGGCAGTGGCTTTCAGTCTTGGCTCTCCATTGGAATCACCCAGGAGTCTTCAAAAATTCACCCCATTCAATCAAAATTGTACTTTTTTGTTTTTGGAGAGATTATTTTTTTTGCTATAGGGCACGTGTGCTTGCCAGACAGACAGAGAGAAACAGAGAGACAGAAAGCGAGAAATCAACCCCCAGGGGGGATGGCCCAGCCCCAATCCCTTCTCCTCCATTTTCCTCTCAGGATCTTGGGCACGTACATGTGCCGGGCGTGAGTTTAAGCCACCAGGTCTGGGACGCAAGAGGAGAATGGAAGAGAAGGGATTGCGGCATGGCTGTCCTCCCTCGGGGATGGTTTCTTGCTTTCTATCTCTCTGTCTCTCTCTGTCTTTCCAGCAAGTAAACACGCCCTATAGCCAAAACCTCTAAAAAAAAAAGCAAAAACAAAACAAAAACCAGTCCCCCCAAAAACCACCTCAGAGGCGCAGTAGCTTACAGCAGGGAGGACTTCCCTATAGCACGTGTTCCATCATGGCGACTTTCTGCGGGCCTACAGCTCTCGAAGCAGAATCCAGGGAAGGTGGCCCGTTGGACACTCTCCCAGACCAGCAGCAGAGGCGTCTAACAGAGGCCTCAGGCTGTCAGGGGCGACGGGCTGTGTAAACTGCTCTTGGTTTTCATTCAGAACCCGTCGGCAGCGGCAGAGTTAGTGGCAGCTGGCGGCAGAGTTAGTGGCAGCTGGTGGCTGAGCCCCGCCTGCCCGCCGGAGGGGACAGTGGACCCTTGAGCTGGAGTGTCCTCCGCAGACCCCAGCCAGCGTTTCGAGAAGCATTCGTTCTTCCTTGTCCTGGGCCTCACGCACTGTCTCACCCTCAGGTGGGGGACGCGGTGTGCACTGGGTGCACTGGGCGCAGGTCCGTTGCTCTCAGGCCCTCCTGGAACACTAGCGCGTGCTGCCCACACTAGGGGGCGTGGCAGGTCGTCCCAGCGGCAGGCTGTGCACCTCCACCTCCCTTCTGCACGCACACTCCTCCTTACTCGGGGGTGTGAAAGGTCCGGGAGGACCTGTCGGAGGGTGCTGCCCACCGTGCCTCAGGGCCC